TTCACAATTATCACAACTTACCATAGCAACCCCAACAAAAATAAGATTAGATAAAAAGGATGTAAAACTTGTAATATCCATCTGTAACAAATTAGGTTACTCTGTGTGTGTGTGTGTGTGTGTGTGTGTGTGCGTGTGCGTGTGTGTGTGTGTGTGCGTGTGTGTGTGTGTGTGTGTGTGTGTGTGTTTGTTTTTTCTTTTGCATCTAATTTTGTAAAAGTCCAGAAATGAATATAAATAAGTATGAAAAGATATGAGGTTTCCGTTTTTAAATTCCTACACTCTGAGGGAAAACAAAAATGGGTAAGTCAAAATATTTAACTGTGGGCCTACAAACAATAAACTGAGTCATGAAAAGGTCCACAGAAATGAAAGGAACTTTTAAAATCATATAAATGCATGTTGTTTTCACAAATTACTTCTATTACATTCTCTTTAAAATTATCTTATTAATTCCACATTTATTAATATTCCATTACTTATTATTCCTGTAGGGGTATGGGGAGCTGCTATCTGTCTCAAGCAATTACTGAGTGAGAGGCAGGAGCTATAGTATAGTGTAGTAATGGAGCGAGCTCTGAAACTGAATTAGAACAGTCCTATCTAGCCCTGCATCCTGTAAAAACAGACAAAAACAATAAAAGAATGATAATTAACATTCAAAGTGATCATTTGCATGTTTGCATCATTCAGCCAGTAACAGTCAATCACATTTTGTGTGACTTTTTTTTTTTTGGGGTGTGTAGCAATAAATATAGATTTATATCTATATTTATCAAATGTGGTGTGGATTTAGCTTGTTTAGTCATTTATAATCTCATATTAATTAATTGGGGCACCACCACGTCTTTGCTAGTGTGAACTTGGAACACTTGAATTGATATTCAGATTTGTTCAATGTAATCAGTCTCAACTTTAACACCACAAATTAACTTAAAGGATGAATTCTTACCAGAATGCACCGACTATTGTCGAGATCGCTAGAAATGATCAGGCGTTATTTACGTTTGTGAGTTTATTACAAACATCAGTTAATACATTTGACAAATGGATCAAACATAATTTATTTTTTCATGCATGGAATTAAGAAACTAGTTAAACCAAAGCTTTATGGCAGTGATATGAAATAAAAGATCTGTAATAAAAGTGGACATTTGGTGACACACAAGATTATAGTATAATTGGAAATAATTTCTAAAGGAGAACAAGTGAATTTTCTTGTGTTTATGGGAAGTGTGTGTGTGCGTGTGTGTGTGTGTGCGCACGTGCGTGTGTCTGTGTGTAAGTAAATAAGAATTTGTTGCAGCAGATAAAGAAGGATAAATCTTGAGAGCTAACGTGAATTTGGATCGAAATAAAACACGCCATAAAATTTGATAATCTGAATTCACTAATCGGGTTTACCAGAAAAGTCAGCCAAATGAAATGATGCAGAGACCTGTTTTCCTTGTCGCCAGAGGGTAGCCAAAGACCTGAAGCAGCCTTTGAGGTCCTTACTCATGTGTGAAGAGGCTTCTTGGACAAGGAGATATTAGTTTTAACTCTTAATGTGAAAACTCGACCGCACCAAGCCGACTTCCGGTTTGACGTAGAAGGTCAAAAACAAACAAACGGAGTTGCCGCGGCGTTCTACTGTCCTTTTGGAAGCGCTAATGACTTGGGAACTTTGAGAGCGAAGTCGTTGCTAGGCGAGATGGAAAAGCCCAGCAGAGTTTTGTGCTTAAGGCGTCCTTTGTTCTTTTCTCCGTCGTCACGAGGTTTGAACTCTGGCCTTTATAACCTTTCTTGGTAACGCCCACATTTCACTCATTAACCATGGCTCTTTCAAATAGCTCAATCTTTCCAACGGTGAAAAGTTCATATCACAATTTACCAAACTTATCCAGGTGAGGCATCAAAAGTATTACTTTAAACAGGAAAGAACTAAATTCATGTCTTAAAACTGGACAGTTTTACCATTGGCATGAATTTTAACTAGAGACACAAAAATGGCAGATGTTTAACATGAAAGAGGAACACAAACAAGTGTTTAGGTTTATAACTGATAAGAGTTTAAACATTTACTTTGAACACCTCAATTTTTTTAATGGTAACCAACCTAAAACACCCTCTTTATAAAGACTCAAGTCTGAAGCTTCCAGAAGGACCTCAGAGAAGTTTTTCAACTACCCCCATTTTGAGTAAGGGTCAGTCTTGACGGGTTGATGTAAAACAGACCAGTTTCTTATATTGTCCAGCTTCTCCAACTGGTATAGAAGAAAACCCCAGTCAAATTGGTGCAATTTACGACCCTGGGAGAGAATCGTAGGAGTTACCCAGAATGCTGAAAAGCTGCAGGCCAGTTTTACGTTTTCCCATTTTGCTGCTAAGTGTGAGAGAAAGAAAAGCTTTGTGTGAAAATGGTTATGTTCTTCTTCGTGTGAATCCAACAAAAGTTAATCTGAGAATATGAAATGTGGATTTCCCCTACAGGTGACTTAGGCTGAAAAGTTTGGGAAACACTAATAAATAAGAATAAGATTTCTGTTTCTTGTAAAGCAACTTTCAAGATAAAAATTTGTTACTGAATTAAAATAAAAATGAAAAAAATTATTCCAACAATGACAAGTTACAAGCCACACTCTTTGGATTACATCCCAATTTAGGAAGACATTATAAATGACTCAAGACCGTTCCATTAAATAACTTTGAAGGGAAACTCTGAATCTTTTTTAGATTAGTAAACAGTCTCTGCTACATCACATAGCTCTGACACAAACTCTTCAATAAGTTTTAATGTAAAGTCAGAACCAGTGGCGGCTGGTGAAAAATATTTTGGTGGGGCTGTGCTATTTTTTATTTTTAAACAAACTTGTGCTTTCTGAGCTTTGTGCACAACTTCACTATTTCCTGAATTAAGCACAGCTCTTTTATTTCCTGTCTTACATCATTGGACAAACTGATTAATCCAGGTGTGTCTGACTATTGGCACGCTGCCTTGCGGACCAAGGTTGAAAAATACTGCATTAAATTGCACATAAAATAACATGACCATAAATGGTAAATAGGCAATGCAAGAGGCAAGTAACAAAAACATTTTGTTTAATTTCAACATTTGAGTGAACACGAAAAATTATGAGCAGGTCACTGTTACAGTAATGGAAGTAAACACCACTTAGACAAAATGCCAGAAATTTACACTGTTAAAATATTTCTGGAGTGTTGTGCCAAGGTCAGCTTTATACAAAGATCAAGTGGATGCATTTGTGTGTGTGTGATACCTCATTTGTACAGAAATTTTGCCCTTCTGTCCTTCTGAGTGTGCCCCTCGTCGAGCTGCATGGCAATGTTAGCTCTGCCTAGCATTGCTAGCTTCACCGTGTTGTCCATGTGTGCCCGGGATGACTCGTGTTTCTTCACCTTCTCAGAAAAATGTTTCATGTCTGTAACTCCTGACTCAATCCATGCCTTGTCTGTCCCAGCCGTTTTGAATAACAAACACGGAAAGCAAAATAACGCATTAGCGTGATTGCATCCAGCTAGCCAAGCCTTCCTGGTGTACCAATTTCGGGAGAAGCCTCGTGTGTACAGTTTACCTCTCTCCTTGTCCTGCTGGCTTATCTTTACGTCGGGCTGATCTGGTCCAAGCTCTTTGACATTAAGTTTTTCCACCATAGTTCTCCTCTCGAACGGATACTGGAGAAGAGATCGAACTGAATTCATTGGCTGCTGAGATCCGGTATCCATGCTGGTTGTAGACTCACTGGCATCCATCAGGTCTATTACATCTGCATCACGACTCACGACCAAAAACGTGCTGGAGTAGTCGAGACTCTCCGAGTTCTACCGAACACCAACGAAAGCCTTTGGCGGTAGCTCTATCGCCCATCATGCTTTTGAAACAACGCTGACGCTGATTGGATACATTCCCATTCCTACCATTTGATTTTCTTGTCAGCAATTGGTCGGCTGGTTCCGTGCTGTTTGGGCGATTCAAAAACAGCCTACAGCCTCTCTGTCGCCTCCACCGCTCGGCAGAGAGCTTCTCATCAATATAGATATATAAATATATGATTTGTTTTTGTTACAAAACACACAATTAACTTAGAATATGTGATTATTGTTAATTTTATTTATTTTTTTTTAAATAAAAATTAAAAACACTGGGGAAAACTGGGAGGGCGGCGCCCTATCACCCTCTACTGGCCAGCCGCCACTGGTCAGAACTCATTCAGGATATACCTCCACCCATGAGCAGTGATAAATGATAAATGACCCACACTTGTATAGCGCCTCTCAGAGTAAGGACTCCAAAGCGCTTTACACAACAGTGTATCATTCATCCATTCACACATGCTCACATCAGTTTGGAGATATTTCTTAAGTGATAAAAACAGTTTTGGACCAATGTTTTTGAGTAGCCTTCAAGACACATTGGTCAAAAACAACACCCAAATCCCTTAAGTTCATCTTGATGGCAGAGGATAAATGACCAAGTTTTTGACTAATCAGGGGAACCATGCTCTCAGGGGCAATGATCAGACATTCAGTCTTTTCAGCATTTAACTGGAGGAAATTATCTTCTAGCCAGCTGGAGATGGTCTTCTCAAGCTTCAAACTGTATTTTTTTTATTTCTATATACTCTCAAAAATAAATATCTGCCTCTTCAGTTGTTAAAATGCCCACAGAGCTGTTTTTAACTGCATCCAGCTGCTGCTGGTGGTGAGCGGGCAGCACGCTATAGAGCTGAAGCTCAATAACCTCTACATTTCCAAGGTGAGTTGCATTTGTGAGTGATGATTCACAGTTGAGTCATTTTGTTTTCCAGCTGCTTTGACAGCCATTTCTTCCTAGTGCGACCCTACCGTGATAATACCTCTTAGTTGAACATGAGCTACGATGGCACAGGCCAAAGAGTAAATTTCACAGAGATATTGCTTATACAACAGTGACTTGGGAAGTACAGTAGCAAGTGGCAGAATTATTTAGGCAGAAAGTGTGACAGGAGTGAGTTGTCTACCGTTCACTTGGAGAATGTGGGTCTGGAAGAGTTTGTCATATCCATCAGCATGGCAGGTGTAGTTGCCCATGTGGGTGGTGGTCACCTTAGTGATGTACAGTGAGCCGTTGTCTCCAAAATCCTAGCAGATGAACAAGGAAAGAGAGAAAGAAAGACAACCTTAAAATGAGGGAGAGAAAAACAGAACCCCAAAGCATTGGTTACGCGTGGAGACTTGAAAAGAGTGTTTTAATGGACATGCAACAAGCCTACAGAGCACAGATGGGAGTCTGGAAATAAAAGGAAATGAAAACTATTCCAGCTGTCAGCAAAGGCACGTCATGAAACAAACCTCCATCAATCTATGGTGCAAGTTGAAGCTGTTTTGTCTCACAACAAAACAAGAAAATAACCATCAAAGTCACAGAAAAACATTGCTTGTTGAAATGTCATTTTCCAATTAAAGGGAAGTGGTCTGACAGTGTAGTTCAAACTGATTAGTGAGGAGATGACTGCTTTAAACACAAAACCTGGGAATCAAGGTCTGCAGACATTATCTAATTCACAAAGGGACAAAAGATAATTGCTACCCCTTAATTAGCAACCACCTACCTCAAATAAAACAACTCTATGGTTGCCTAAATTCCATAAAACATTAAGATTCATTCATGACCATGTAAAGACAAATAAACAAGATGAACGTATGCCATGCTGTGATTATTCTGTGAAAACACACACGCATACACATGCACACACACACTCGCACAAGGTGCTGGACAAAGAAGAGCAAACAGAATAATAAATTGTTCAGGCTGCAGTAAAATCAGAAGCCCCCAAAGCTAATGAGCCTGGTGATGGTCACACTCCTGCTGGTAGTGAACAGCTGTTACCTTGCATAGACAACACTCCCATAAAAAGTTCTCAGCAGAACACATGGTAGGCAATCTTTCTGTTTTTTTAAGGTCACCGTGCATCATTTAACATACCAACTTATCTGTTTGCACAACTTCGTGATTTATTTTTGTGCCAAATAACTCATTTTCAAAATGAGTAAAAAAACATTTATAGAACAAAGGTATAGGTAGTTTAATAGGCATTTTGCTTCTATTTAAAGCCGTTTTAAATGTGATTATTTTTGGTTACATTAAAGATGATGAATGGATTACACTTTAATTAAAAAGGTGATTGCAACAGTAAGCCAAACATTAAATGTTAATAAGAAAAAGTATGTAATCATCTCTAAATTAGCACATTCTGTTCTTTCTAAATTCTAATTGGTAGTGGTTTAGTAAACTATTTGGAATTAGTTATCCAGATTTACCCTTGGTAGCAGTTGGCTTTCTCTGCTTATGGGTCATGAGGGCAGCACTTCTGTCAGCTCCTCTGTTGGGATATTGGGACGTTGTTGTTCTGTTTCAGCCTCAGGGTCTCTTGAGGGAAGACCAGAACACCTCTCTCAGACTTCCATGGAGCATCCTAACCACGCCGCTCAAACGGCCTCAATTGACCCCCATCGACGTGGAAGAGAAGCAGCTGAAAACTGAGTCTTCAGCACCTTTTCTAAAGCTCAGTCCATTGGGTCAAACTCAGCTGCTTTGCTTTCCTGTTACTGCTCAGTTCTTGGCCACAGGTTGAGGTAGAAATGTAGTTTGATGGGTAATTTTGGCATACCTGCCTCTTCACTCAAAGAGACTGGTTCTACGTTCAAAGACTCTGCCACAAACATCCTCTCATTCTCCCTTTACCTCCATCTCATGACTAAAACCTTTATATAGTTGAACTCCTCCTCTTGATGCAGGACCTCTGACCTGACAAGCAGTGAGCAATCCATACTTTTCCAGTAGAAAACCAACCACACTCAGCAGCAGACCTCCTCAGTAAGGGGTTCAATGAGGCTGTGAGGAACACATCAATAGCCAAAAGCGGAAATGAGATCCTTCCACCCAAAAACTCAACACATGGCTGCACCCTGAGATTCTGTCCGTAACATTTATAAACAGAAGCTGTAACAAAGGGAAACCATGGTGGAGTGGAATGCTCACCAGTAACATATCTGACTTAGTGCTTAATATGCAGATCACATGAGGCCCATCCATGAAGATTTGGCCTTTGGCAGGTCTTGTTTTTTTTTGTTTTTGTTATCATTTTTTTTTCATTTACATTGATTGGTATCATCTGAAACTGGCATGAAAATGTTTATATCCACATTATAGATCATGCACTTTACCATGTTGTTTTAAAACAGTGTATTAACCACTTGGTTAATCATGGTGGTTTTTCAGGAATGAGCATGCTTCAGTTTCCACTAGTTCTACGACAAAGAAGGCCAAATGTCTAAATGTGTTCATACCTGGTGCCATACGTTGAAACTGATTCAAGTGTAAAATATTGCTTTATAAATACCTTGTTCAATTTAATGTTTTGTTAGTTTGCGTGAAATCAACCTCAGTTCCAATTTTAGTTTTCTGATCCTGGATTTACAAACTTCTACATTCAGATCACTGCTTCATGTTCAGCGTGGGAGCATCAGGCCTTGTGTTTACACGCAGTGTGTTCATCAGTTCATGCTGCTGAGCTCCGATCTAACTTCAGAGCTCAGCACGAGTGAAGCATCCGACTTCCTCAATATGAGGGGAAATCAATGGTACAGTTTTGCCCTTTGGGCTTAGAGCACATTGTGTCACCTTTTTAAATGAAAAATGATGGTGGGGTGGGGGATGAAACCCAGGGAGGTGGAACGAGCCACAACGGAGGCTGTCGACATGATTCCTCCACCGCACCTCATAACACTCACCTCAGCTATCAGGAGCACCCAGCTCTCCGCAGACAAAGCAGGAAAAGGTAGGACTGCTCAGAAGGAAGGAAGACAAGGACAGGTAGAGGAGGATTTACAAATGGGCCATAGCCCCTAAAGAAAGTATAATTAATAAAGCTGCCAGGGCCAGGTCACCTCTGGAAGAACATTGAAGGGCCACCTCATGGGATGGTTAACCTTCACCATTGACGAGGCATTTTAGAAAAATAGCCTTTGAAGAAACTTTCCCTCAAGCCTTCAAAAACTTACTTCAAAATAACACAAAATGGATTAAAAGGAATACCCTACAGTGTCTGTAGATGTCTGCCAGAGGAAGACTTTTGTTCTAACAATTCAACAAGATTTGAAAGACGTTTAAAATAACCTAGGGGTTGACATTAAATTACAAAGACATTGTATTCTACCTCTAGATTCTTTGAAACGTGCATGTTCATTTTTTTATATCTAAAAGATTAATGCTACTGCAATGGCTCTATGTGCCTTGCAACAATTTAATTTAATAGTTATTTTCTCCCCTCACAGCACAACTGACGACTAAAGCTAAACAAAACCCTCTTCCTTCACTCAATCATATTTTAGCCATTTTTGTCATCATATTAACTTTCATGTATATTTTTATCATTCTAGCAGGTTAAATTACGTTTAGAGTCATTTTGATAAATGAAACCTCATTTTGACCATTTGTGTTGCTGAAGTTTTGATCCCACACATCACATACATTTGTTTTACTTTAAACTTGTTTACATAATAATTACAGGCCAGTTTTCTGTAGAGGAATCTGCTGGTAGTACACACAATCTTGCATATGCTTGGATTTGGATTGACAGGTTCCTGGAATGGTCAGTGCTCTAGCTTTGTGGGCTTGTAGTAAATTAAAAGAAAACGATGGCAAATCAAGTAAAAACCCCAACTCAAAACAACAACGAAAAGAAAAACAAGAGAAGCATCCTACCTGGGACGGGATCTGTCAAGGGAAAAGGACAGGTCAGACATTCAGAGGTTTTGTTCAACAGAAATAAAAGTGCAATCAGTTTAAAACTAACCGATTCAAACTGTTTTGCTTTTTTCACTTTCAAGCAAAACCGTCTGTCTATTATTCATGATTATTTTTATTCATTTAGTTTATTTTTTTGCATAAGTCATCTCTAAAGGTCACCCTTCAGATTTGCATGTTATTCTATGAATGATCATAACAAAATCCCCAAAAGACGTCAGAGACATAACCTTGTAACTCCATTAACATGAAGCAACATTCTAGGAGAGAGCTGAATTACATTTAAATAATGCAGAGCTGGGGTTCAGAAGTGCAGGTCATTCTCTACAGAGCAAGCAATACCACTATGAAAGATAAACTCATGTAAGGTACAAACTCTGATCACACCGTTTATTTTAAAAGAAAGAGGCTTTTGTATTTCCTGGCAAGTTGTTATTAGAAGTTGAAATGTTTCTGCCTGACAGCCACATTTTGTTAGCCTAGTGAACTAGACCAAATTCTTGCTTTACAAAGAATGGTCTAGGCATGCTCTATTGGAACCTCAGCAGCGCCTACCAGGACTCTGGCTGGCCAATCACAGCACTCTAGAGGGGTTTCAAACACATAAAGAGCTGTGATTGGTCCATAATGGTGGGCCAATCATAGTGCTCTATCTGCTTAGTGAACAAATCACAGAGCTTTATCCGCTTTGTGGGCCAATCAGGGCACTCTATATGCCTGGTGGGTGGGATGATGCAACAGAGTGAAACAAGAGTATGTCACATTCATTGTCCAGTGGAATGCGGAGATCATTTGAAAGACAACGGTAGAACCCGCCCCACAACCGAGAGCCGTCAATGGAGCATGGCCAGACTAAATAATACATTTGTTATTTAGTCTGGCTTGCCAGGCTAACATTTTGTAACATCTGCTCAAAGTTTACTGATGAGGCCAAAAGACTAAAATCTTTGAAGCAGTTGTTACAAACTGGATTTCAAAGACGCAAGCAGTCGGACCTGGTTTTAAAGCTATGTGCAAATTCTCTAAAAATCCAAATTTTAGTTTTTCCCCTAATGCCCAATAGCACAGAGGGAACATTATCCACTTGTTTAAAATATATTGTTCCAGCATAATTACATTTGTGCATCAATGAAAAACTAAAGCTGTGGTAAAAGGTCCCAGAATGATTAGAAAAATAAATAAAATTTACGCCTGTATTTGAATACATCAACAAGCATTTTCATTAAATCATCCATCAAAAACAAAGAAGTGAAAAATGAAGAAAAGAATAAAATATTTATCTACTAAATAAACACGTACATGACAGATGTAACATGGGACGCAGCATTAGAGAAGATAGAAGCACGCATTCCAACCGATGAGACAGTAAAGTAGAGAAGATGTTCAACTTGGGTTCTACTGATCACTATATTTTATCTGCTTTTGTTTAAGCTGCAGTATGACTTCAGAATACATGATTCTCTATTTTTACCTACTCCATGTTTTCCCTTAATGCAACTCAGACATTTGTAGGATTGTTATTCTTTAATACCCAACAAGAGGCATCGCCAAACATGAAACTTTAGTCTTTCTCCTTCATGTGTTGCTCTGTGAAAGCATTTTTAGTCTTCCTAAAGATTAGAAGGCACCACATGCATCTGAGTCACTGCAAGAACCTCAGACTATGTCCCTGATCCCAAGATTCCAACTGTGGATGTAAACTCAGTGTGTGTGTGTGTGTGTGTGTGTGCGTGCGTGTGTGTGTGGTAAAACACACATAGACGTGGAACTCCTTGGTACACTGTTATGTCTTTGGCACAGCCAGACAGAGAGGAATGAATTACTGACGGCCTTGGATGATGATGCAATACCCCGCAACAGTCAACTTCATGGAATTACAGTAAGCTGCTTTGTCAAAATTTAGCAAGGCTCTACTGAAATCCAGAATGCAAGCTCCCCAGTGGGATTAAAATGCAGTTTACTAGATCTGAAGTGGGCATTTTATTAATAACTATGTTCAAGGAATGCAAAATTCAACACAACGTCCGTGCAATGCGGCTCTGATCAAAGCTTCAAGTTTAAATGCTCAGAAAAATTAAAACTAGCAATTATCAAAAATCATCATGAAATGAAATCTAGACTGGGTTTGTGTTTGCCAGGTGCAGGTGAAATCCAATTTCCTGTCTGGGAAAGAAAAACAACAACAACAGATTGAAAGTCTGAGAGCCAAAAATAAATCTGGATTAAGCCGCTCATGGTTCATTGGTAGTTCTATTTGATGTAGTGAGGTTTGCATACAGTTGTTGCATAGCCTGCTGTCACTTTCCACGAGGCTGTGATTTGCTGAATAATTTCTGGTCATGTTTAGAAGCAGTCTGTGCATTGGCAGAGGCTGCAGGTTCACTCTAGCACCAACAAAATACAAACTACCCCAACAACTGCATGCCTTTAATTTGAAATCATGTAATGTTCTTCTGTTTCTACACTAACTTAAATCCGTCTTGTTTATAGAAGCTCTGTAAAATTGCTGTAGCTAACCGAGACACAGCAATAATCATTTTAGACACAACATTTAAAATCAGTAATGTAAAGAAATGGAAGGCCAACATGGGCTCAGGTTCAAATTAATAATGATGAAAGTTAGCCAAGTCTTTATTTCAGCTGATTTCTGGATGATGTGTGACACAAAGAGAATGCTATGGGTTAACATCCACTTTTGTGTTTTTGTGTGAGCACAATGGTTACAAACCACAAGAGCTGAGGTTTGATTGACATGAAAACTGTTGGATTTTCTCTCAACACTCTTATTAACAATCTTATTGTCAGGTTGTCGAACCTCAGATTCAGGAGGAGAAATGTGGTTTTCATCCTGGTCGTGGAACACTGGACCAAATCTATATATACTCTTAGGGGGATCCTGGATGGTGCGTGGGAGTTCGCCCAACCAATCTACATGTGGTCCCTGTATGACCGGTGTCAGAGCTTGGCCCGCATTGTCAGCAGTATGTCAGGATAATTCCCAGTGAGAGTTGGACTTCGCCAAGGCTGCCCTTTGTCACTGATTCTGTTCATAACTTTTATGGACAGGATTTCTAGGCGCAGCCAAGGTGTGGAGGGCATCTCTGTTGGTGGCATGAGGATCGGGTCTCTGCTTTTGGCAGATTAAGTGGTCCTGTTGGCTTCATCATAACGTGATCTCTGGCTTTCACTGGAGCAGTTTGCAGCCCAGTGTGAAGCAGCTGGGATGAGAATCAGCTCCTCTAAATCCAAGATCAAGGTCTTAAGTCGGAAAAGGATAGAATGCCTTCTCCGGGTCAGAGGTGAGGGCCTGCCTCAAGTGGAGAAGTTTAAGTATTTCGGGGTCTTGTTCACGAGTGAGGGAAAGATGGAGATCAATAGGCGGATTGGTGCTGCGTCTGCAGTGATGCTGGTGTTGTACCAGTCTGTCAAGGGGAAAAGAGTGCTTGGGTAGTGACTGAGAAAACAAGATCGCGAATACAAGCAGCTGCAATTTGTTTTCTCCGCAGGGTGTCTGGCGTATCCCTTAGAGATAAGGAGAGAAGATCGGCCATGCGGGAGGGGCTTGGAGTAGATCCACTGCTCCTCCACATAGAGAGGAGCCAGTTGTGGTGGCTCGGGCATCTGATTAAGACGTCTCCTGGATGTCTCCCTGGTGAGGTTTTCTGGGCATGTCCAACCGGGTGGAGACCTAGATGGAGACCCAGGACATATTGGGGGTTCATGGATTCTTCTTCTTTCATATGTCTGCTCTTGAACACCCACCCCCTTGACCCCCCACCTCCCCTCACCCAAAACGGAAGAAGAAAAAATGTGAGCTTTGAAGGATGATGGGGTGAGAGTACGTTCTTATTTAAATTAGAAACAGCTGCACCTGTCTTGTCAGACATTTACATTCTCTTCAATTTCAATAAATCTGTTTATCTGTGACCCTGCACTAATACATGGAGCTCCAGAATGACTCCCTTTGTCACTAGTACAATGAGCCGGTACTGCTGGTGTTTGAAAATCTGTAGAGTTTGGGGTTTTTACCCACAGCACTAAACTCCCACTCTCTCATTTGCTATTTGTTGAGTTGCTACTAGCCACTAAGTTCCCTGTGATAGTAAATCTGCCACTGTATGGAAAGTGTGTCCGATCTTAATTATGTCCAATGGATTCAGCTTAGCATCCATAAACACCCACACCTCCCCAAGAGATGTAAAATAAATCTTTAGGACCTCTCAGAAGAAAAGTGCACCAGAGCTTAATTTGTACTTCGGAAAACTGCATGTAAGGGGGAAATATCAGACATTAATGAATACATATATAGACGATGTATACATAAATGGATGTAGAATGCATTGTTACACTCAATATGTTGTCATTATTTCTTCTATTATTATGTTTATGTTTATTTATTTGGCAGACGCTTTTATCCAAAGCGACTTACAATTTATAACCTGTAGGGCATGTTGTGATCTGTGGGGGAAACCGGAGTACCCGGAGGAAACCCACGCATGCATGGGGAGAACACGCAACTCCACGCAGAAAGGCCGCAGCCGAGCCAAGTTTCGAACCTGCAACCTTCGTGCTGCAAGGCAACAGTGCTATTGAACAGGAGACAGAAAAAAATTTGTAACAATAATGAACATCCTTCAACAACAGATGCTTTCATCCCTGAGTTGACATTTCAATTAAAAATACATCATAGCAAGATTTGATAGACATAACTAAGGGAGCAGACAAGAATGTGCAAAGTCACCACCTGTAGTCATAGTGCTGAACTCCGCTGTGTGTCCTCAGGGCAATAACAAAAGATGAAACAGAAACCTCATAGAATAAAAAATAATAGTAATAAAAATAAAAAACAAGGCAAAAATAAAGCAATTGAAATAACAAAGAATACACACTTTTGGTCTTGCAATGCCTTCATTTTCCACATTTTCCATCTACCAAAAGATATTTGCTGCAGTGGTGAGTCCTGGCATTTT